GTGGGGCTCCTGCCACTTCCTGCCCCATATGGGACAGGAAGTGGCAGGAGCCCTTGCCCCATATGGGACAGGAAGTGGCAGGAGCCCCACACTCTGGGAAAGGTTTTCACCCGTAAATTCATGTTTACCCGTAATCACGTGGTCTTCACATGTAATTACCGGCCAAGAAAATTTGTACACATGCTTATTTTTAAGTTGCCAAAGCATTCCTTTTATAAGGAATAACACAGGTGACATTTTGTTGGTTGCCCGTGCTGGAAGTCATCCACAGGTTACATTAGCCGTAATCACAAGGTCTTGACCCGTAATCCCCCAAGCCGTAATGCACAGCACCCGTAAAATTTCACGGGCTTAATTGCGACGAAGACGTGTTATGTGTGTGTGTGTGTGTTACATGGTTGGGGGTGTGTGACCCCATACCTGTAAGATAACCCATACGAGCCGAGGGCCCAAGGGTAATACTACAACACCTAAAAGCCACGGAGGAAAGGAAAACACCGCACATCAGCCCAGACTAGCGTCTAAAGGGGGTAATTGAGTATCGGTGAGCCCACATACGTTCCAATTTCCTCGCCAGACGTGCGGGTTCCCATTGCATGGCCTCCAACATGCTCTGTTGATGATCGAATCCTTCTTCAGCACGAATATCATTATAGGCTGGGCATTCCAATAACAGGGGTTCACATCCTCAATTCGGCTATTAGTACCACAACAGTGGCAAAACCGCTGCCCCCTGGGGACGTGGTACTTGCCCCTTCATGCTCTGTTTGCCTCCAAAGCCCAGCAACATAAACGAAACTGCATTACCTTACTATATGCTAAACGAGGAATGAAAACCTTAGCATGTGTTGGCCACATGACGGCTGCGGCTCCCGAAAAGGGCAGCCCCATCCAGTGCTTATACTTCGCCACTGTGATCCATCTTCGTATTTGCTGAGCGCGTCTGCCTGCTGCTGCTGTTCCCGGCTGCGTGGGTACCACACCACTATAATGTCTGTGTCCGTATCCGCGCAGAGGCGATGGATCTCCGCCACTATGGGCAGGCAAGCGGCGTTGCCTTTCATCCCAACCATGCAGAATTCCGCCGGTTGGCTGTCCGTCTGGTATTGCACTGTCCGGCCGTACAACAGGTTCGGTGCCTGCTCTCGCAACCAGTGCAAGCTGTACAGCAGCGCCCGCAGTTCTCTTTCTGTGCTGCTAAAGTCATTCCGCTGCAGCCGCTGGGTTTCCTGAGCTTTGAAGGGCACAAGCATGCGGCTGTTGGCGCCCAGTTCTTCTCCAGGTAAGAAGGCTGCGAAGGCCCTGTCTGAGGCGTCCCCGACTAGTTCCGTCGTCAGTCGTAGGGCTGGTCCTTTCCGCCAGGTGGCTGTCCCGTTGCGCCTGCCCAGCAGCTCCATAAACAAGCCTGCCTGGTGTAGCACCTCCGCCGGGTCCCAAACCTATTCGTCCCACGCCACGCCCCGGGCTACACACCACACCATCCACGCATACAGGGGTGCCGTGGTGACGGCGGGCGTCATGGCGATGATTTTGCCGGCCACCTGCGCCACCTGCCGCGCTGTTAGCCGTTTGCCTTCGAGCTGTGTGAGCAGCGTACGGAATCTAGCTAGCTTGTCGTCTGGTACTCTGAATGCTTGCGCCTCCGCATCCACCTCCA